AAAAAACAAAAAAAAAAACACTTTTGGTTGTCCTAACTGTCATACATCTGGCTCTCAATCTATTAACATGACCATCGAAAATTTTCTCCAGAAAACCAATTCTTAAAGGATCTATTAGGTTGTCTATTGTCGTAACTAGGCTACAAAACCTCTACCCTTTTACAATTACTAGCATCGGGTCGTGCTTGTTCTACGCGCTTACTTGCGTAATGAATTTGTAATTCCTTCACGTTTGCAAATGCACCAATTGTCATCACAATCAAATTGTGACCTGACTTCGACAAACCAGGATTTCACATTCCCAATCCAATAGAGGTTCCTAAAGTCAAACATCTCCCATCGCTTGCTCTTCAGTCCACGACGGAATGAATTCCATTGGTGAAATCTATCAACGAATTACGGTTTGACATTCCTCCAAGCTATTGGCTCCACCTCATAAGTAAACCCGATGTACATTTTATATATTATTCACGTCTGATTAGAAATTAAAATCCTTTATAACCTATAGGTTGCATATGATTTGTTTGGTAACCCAACATATTATCTTTAGTGTAGCAGTTACGGTATACTTGACAATATGTCTTACCACAAAGCAACTTTAATTTTTCCTATTTCTTTCTCCACACACCCCTCGCACACATTACATCAACACGTTGCCATCACCATCTCAGCATGTGGTTTCCACCATCTTCGTCGCCAAGTCCATGAAATAGCAGATTGGAATAAGAAATCCACGGCCACAGGCGCCGCGACGGGCCCACCGGTGGTCGGCTCTGAAGACCTCGTCGCACCAACATCTGAATCTGATAAGACCTACCTCCTTTGGCAGTGGAAGCATTGACACACCTCTCTTCAGTGGAGGCGGAAAATCCTTCGTCGTAGATGCCCTTTTTTCAAATATCAACTCGTCGGAGTTAATTCTCTCTCCGACGTAGGTCTGGTGGCGATCTAGAGCTGACAGATCTATCCACAGATATGTGGTTCGAAGCTCCACCGCTCGATGGGTTGTTTGAATTTTATGCTATTTGCTCGGCTATTTTTTGGTGGGTACAAGAACTAAGTGAAAACTTAGATTAAAACGAAAATATGATTTAGTTATCATTTAAGATTTTTGCTATTTGCTTTTAATGGTAACTTTAACTTTAATAGTTTAATTAATCATTTTTTTTTAAAAAAAAATTATGTAAGTAGATAACACGTGTCATAGTTTCAATTGGTGCATGTTCAGGTACGTTCAAGACAAGTATGAGGGGTAACCTCAGGGGCGGATCCAAAGCCCCTTCAGGTTGGGCCTAGGCCCCACATGGAATTTTATATTTTTTATAATATATATTGTTGAGAAAATAAGTATAAATTAAGTAATTTTACAAAAATAATATATAAATGAAGTTGTTTATTAATTGGGTGGCTTTTTCTTCCTTTTCTCTTACTAAAATTTTCTTATTGCAATTTATTATTTATCTGTTGTATCTTTAAAGAAATTTTCATGACTTTGCATGCTACTATAATAATTATAATAAATTTATCAACTAAAAGATAGAATTATAATAAATTCTTTGATCCAATATTTTGAAAAATATTATCTCTCCTACCCACTGCGAGTATTAAAAAAAGATTGACATAATGAGATTAATTAATCATGATATCTTGGCGTATATCAACTTAATGTGTTTACAGTTGGTACATAAATAATTTAATTTGTATTGATAATAACACATTTTAAATCATTATAATAGATAATAATACTTAAATATACAATTGTAGGGTGTTTTATATTTCTTTTTGTATTATTTAAAAAAATTAAATTTATATGTAATGGTAATTTTCTACGTCTCATCTTGTGCCATTTCTTTTTTTTTTTTTTTT